ACGGACCTCTGACCCCGTGTCCCGCTCCCCTTGCTGCGGGGGGAGTTTGAGTCCCGTTAGTCGCCAGACCCTCCAGCCCTGACCTGAGCTGTCGGGGGTGACGGGGCTTTGGCTTCCATCTCGCCAGCCCCGTGCAGTCCGGAGAGCTGAGGAGGGTCCCGTCCCGCAGAAAGGTGGGGGGAAGCACGGGTTTGGTTCCAGGGAGCGTTCAGGCTGGGAGCCGCCGGGCTCAGCACCGCACGGCTCCGCTCCACCAGCACCCTTCAGCTGCCAGCAGCTTGGCAGGCCCTGCTGGATTCTCATTGTCGCGGGCACGCTGGTGGCCGGAGGAGGGATGCCCCTCTCATGCCCTGTCTCAGCTCGTCACAGGGAATCAGTAACGAGTCGGCTCGTTAGAGAGCGACGACTCATCCGCAGCTATTTGTGTTTCTTTGTGTTGAATTATTTATCCCAGTAACGAAGAGTACCACAGCTCTGGCACGTGGGAGTCTATTTTTAAGCCTTGTCTCCTTGGTGGTTTCAGACCCAGATGACTAATAATTACGTTTAGTATCCAAAGAAAATAAGCAGCTCCAAAGTGAAGCTTTTCTCAGGGCTCCTCACCTGCATGGAGGGAAGGTTTGGGGGGATGGAAAGCCGGGATATGGGGTGACCTCAGGTGCGCTGTGCCCTTTCCCACTTGTCTGCTGTGGGTGGTGGGTGCTGGAGAGCTCTCAGTAACATTTCTGACCCTCCCCTCTGGAAGGAAAGGCAGCAGCGGATGGAGGAAGGGAATATTCTGGATTTGCATGAGAGGAAGGATGAGGAACGCCGGAAGATCCGAGAGGAGAAGGCGCGCCTGGCACGACGCGCCGCCATCCAGGTAGGGACAAGGCAAGGGCGTCGTGGTCTGCATGAGACCAGTTAGTTGGCATCTTCTCGCAAGGCAGCGAGAGGGACTCTCGCCTGCATCTCTGGGGGCTTTGCACGAAGCAGAATTAGAGCCAGCCTTGGAAACGGAGCGCTCCCTACGGAGATGGAGGTGCCATAGAGCGGTTTCCCGTTGGGCTCCTGCCAAGCCTTGGCAGCTCGTTCGGAGCGTGTGAAGACAGTGCTGGTTTCGATCCGGTTCTTGGGGAAAGGGTGACCATGTTGAAACAGAAAGACCGTAACTGCAGCTCCTCGGAGCGGCCGGGGATGAGAGTGCCCTGGGAAGGGGGCCGCCCTCGGGAAGGGGGTCCCGCCAGGGTGGGCTGAACGCTGCTCTGTGCCTGCTGGCAGGAGGCACCTCGTTGTCTTCGCCCCATTCTTGCTGCAGGAAAGGGCTGGTGCTCCTGGGGTGCAGACGAGGGACTGGCCCGGACTATGGGGAGTTGCCTATTGGCTTGCTGGATAGCTGAAAATTTAAAAAAAACCCTTAATTTCTCTTTGCCCTAAATGGAGTCGTGTTTCGTCAGGGGAGGGTCAGGGTAGACACAGCAGCGAGCGGCAGGAGGACAGCAAAATGCTGCAGCAGCCTCAGCGAACACGTGCTGGTGCCTCCCCAAACCCCCTGGGCTCCGCGGCGGCGCGGCGCTGGGTGGCACGTGGCCCTCGGGACGCGGAGGCCCTTTACAGAGCAGCACAGGACACTGTGAACAGCCTGGCAAGACCCTGGCCACCACCTCCCTTCTGCTCAGAGCTGTTGTTGTGTGCTGTCCCTTTCTCTAAGCAGAGTTGTCCTCGTTAACCCTTTAGCAGCAAGGGTGTGGGTTGTGGCTGTCTCCCAGGCCCTCGCTGGCACGTAAAGCAGCGCAGGTGTGTGTCAGAGCACAGCCTGTGCTGGGCAGGACGCCGATGGCTCGTCTGTCCCTAAGGAACTGCACCAGAAAAGGGCCCAAAAGGCCTTGGACGCAAAGCACTTGGCAGAAGAAGAGCTCGCGCTGGTGAAGGAGAGCAGAAGGGTGGCGAAGAAGAAGCCTGCCCCTGCGAGGAACGTCAGCCCGGCCGGCAGCGGCGCCAAAGCCAATAACGCTGGTGAGCCCCTTCCGTGGGTCTGCGATGCTTTTGGAGCGGCTGAGGGAGGAGGGTGGGGGGTGGTTCTCACTCTGGGGAGCTGCTTTGAAGGGGCTGGTTGGCTCAAGTGCCTGAGAACAGTCTGGTTCCTGCAGAGGCCAACTTCCACTCCTTAGCTGCAGAGCCAGAGGAAAGGGGCCTCGCAGAGCTTGGCTCCGTGCCCTCGCGGGAGCCTGGAGCAGAGGACAAGCTGCAGGTGGGTCTGGCTTTGCCTCATGGGGCTCCTGGCACCAGCTGTTCTGCTGAGGTGGCTTTGGAGCCTTCGTTGACTTCTGGGGAGACCCAGCAAACTCTTGTACTGCAAAGTGCGTCTTGTCCCTAGGATGTGAGCTCCAGAGAGACGGGCGGCGAGGATCTGGAGACGGTGGTGACTGCTGTCAGCAGGGCTCAGTCCAAGGTCACGCTCAGCGAGCTGCTGGACACGCTCAGGCTGTTGGAGGAAGAGCCAGAGCTCCTGCCCCCACCGAAGGTCTTCAAGAAGGACAGATGTGCCTGGATGGATGGGGTAGGCAGTGGGCAGAGGCTGATCTCATCCACCCACAGGCAGTGATGGCTGCCCAGTGGGAGCGGGTTCCCTGTGGGCTGCCCTCTCCCAGTGCTTGCTGGGTGGTGGGGGGTGAGAAACGCAGCTGGTTCACTGCTGGAGAAGGCAGCAGAGATGTTTGGTGCAGCCAGTGCTTGGGCAGCTGAACGGAGGAGCCAAATCGTGGGAGGGCTGTGGCGGTGATAAGGCTGGTCACTGGGGTGCAGCGATGGAGAAGAGCCAGCACCTCTTCTCCCGAGCCTTCCCCTGGGCGCCCATCCACAGCTGTGTCTGCTCAGCAGGAGCCCAGTTCCAATTCCCTGACTGCCGATAACTTGGAGAAGTTTGGGAAGCTGAACCACTCCCCGGGGGTCCCCGAGGACGGGGCCCTGCTCTCGGAGGCCAAGCTCCAAAGCATCATCAGCTTCCTGGATGAGATGGAGAAGTCGGAACAGGAGAGGCCCAGGTCGGCCGCCTCGGCCACGCAGCGGGAGGTGAGTGCTGAAGCAAGACCCCATCTCTGTTAGTCCCCCGTCTCCTTGTCCTGGTTCCAGGTGGTGCCTACCACCTTTTAATCCGTTTTTTTCCCTCTGTTGCAGGGTCTCCTCTCGGAAGAGGAGCTGGCTCACTTGGAGCAGGCGTCGGCTGTTGCCACAGAGGTCACGAGCTCCATCATGAGGCTGAAGCTGGAAGTGGAGGAGAAGAAGCGAGCCATCAGCCTGCTGCAGACGGCCCTGGTGCGTGGGCCAGATGTGCTTGCTGGGGAGCGAAGGCCGAGAGCCCTCAGCAGATGTTTCTCGGGGCCGTGGCTTTGAAGCACGAGGTCAGGGCTCTGTGAATAGGGCTTCCCATCCATGTTCCCAGCGAAGTACTGCAGCCTTCCCGGAGCCAGTGCCGAGGAGCCGGAGGGCCCGAGGGCATGCCTTGGTCCCGGTCACTGTTAGCGTGGGAAAGATCTGCGAGGTCCTTCCCGGCCTGGCGTGGGCTTCTCTCCGATTTCTCCTTGCTGCCCGCCCTGATTTGAAAACCTTCCCCAAACTCCGCTCCCTGTCAGGGGCCTGACGAGTCCCGAAGCCCTCGGTCAGGACCTGGGCTGAACTCTTGTCCTGTGTCCCATGGGGGTTTGGGCGTTCTTGCCTACAGCGGGGTGGGAGGTGAGGCCCTGTGAGTACCAGGACTCTGAGTCAGCTCTGGTCCTCCGTGCTCCAGCCTGGCAGTGCCTTCCAGGCTCGGTAGTTATCTGCTGTGCACATGCTGGGGCTGCTGTAACTTCTCACGTCTTGTGGCTGTTTCTCCCCTGCATCCCAAAGGCTCAGCAGAGGGAACTGACTGTCCGGCACGTCAAACAGACCGAGGAGGAGCTCAGCCACCAGCTCAGGCTGCAGCGGGAACAGTACGAGGCAGCTATCCAGAGGCATCTGGCCTTCATTGACCAGGTAATCCCTCCTCCCAACTCGGACTCGTGCTTCTGAGGCCAGAAGCAGAGGTGGCTGTACCCTCTGCCTGATGCCCCTTCTCCACCCTGCCCAGCTCCTTGATGATAAGAAGGTGCTGAGTGAGAAGTGCGAGGCTGTGGTAGCTGAGCTGAAACAAGTGGACCAGAAGTACGGCAAGAAGATCAGCCAGATGCAGGAGCAGCATGAGCTGGTGAGGGGGCAGGGAGAGCAGACGTGCCATGGCCAGTGTTGGTTGGTTTTGCTTAAATGAGGCCTTTGTCCAGAGCAGTACGGTCTCCCTCACCTCCGGCCGTTCTGGGGAGCCCTTCTCTGTGCACAGAAGGTCCGTGTCACCCGCGGAGCTTTGCCCTGGCTCCCCAAGAGGCTGCCGTCCTCTGCTGCCCAAAGCCAGGTGCGTGGGACTGAGCAAGAGACAGTGCCAGGTGCCAGGGAGTCTGCTCAGAAAGACCCTTCCCACACCTGCTGCTGTGGACAGAGCTCTCCCCTGGCTGGGGGGCGACTGGGGGATCTCGCTGCGGCAGAGGGGAAAGCACGTGCTGGCACAAACCTGATACCACAGAGGAATTTGTACCTGTGGCCATATCCTCCCAAGCTGGGTGACCTCCATTCCCTTTGTGGGAGCGGGGCTGCTCTCGGAGCTCAGTGGGGATAAGATTGTAAAGGAACATGGAGTATATGAGCAATAGTACCAGGCCTCCGTGGCTTTCGCTGGGCTGTTGCCCTGACCACCACCCAAACACATGGAGAGCTGTTTTCCCCGGCGAGGATGTGCTGCCGGCTCGTGGGAGCGGCTGGCAGCTTCCCTCGGGACCATGCAGAGCCCCCTCCCCCGCAACCCCAGCCAGCTCGGCTTGCCCTGTGCCAGGCCTGGCAGGAGGGCAGCTCTGCGGGCTCGCTGCTCTGCCACGGGGCTCATCCCGGCCCCGCTCCCCTTTGGCCTCATGGCCGAGCTCGAGCCCGTGGCTCTGGAGCGGGGCAGGCGTTGGCAGGGATGCCCTCAC